TTTTGAAGCGCATCCTGGCCAGGGGTGCTGAAAAGCTTCACTTACTGGTGCTGAATGGGGAGAGGGGGAGCAAACTTAGGCATGATTCTGGGGGGTTCACTACTTAGGATTGTCTTTTCTCCACCCGCCCAGTCACCCTTCAGCACCTGCAAGTTTATAATTTTGTGAAGATGGCAGGGTTTTCCATGGCACGCACCTCCGAAACCTGAGAAGCAGCAATGCAATTGAGTCGTTGCAAGAGATAGATAGAGATACTGAGATACCGGTAACAGCCCTCCCTCTTGGGGCCACCCCAGACGATGGTGCAAACTCAATTGGCACCAATGCCTGGAACTGAGGACTCAGAGTCAAGCACTGACGAAGTGCTGCCCAGCCAGAGTGCAACTTTGCTGCAGCTAGTGCTGCGGTGGGGGGGTTGCTTTGTTCCCAGTGGCTCTAACTTTCTCGTTGCCACAGCTACAGCAACCGCTAAGCCAACCCAGGAAGTCCCAGGTGGATGCCGAACATTTCGATGCCTGGACCTTTCTTCAAAGGACCATGGGGCCAAATGAGTCAAAAGCACAGCATTACTGCATTCCAATCCCTGTGGCAACCCATTCTCAACCCTTTTGAAGCAGGTGCCCTAGCTAACCCGAAGCCCTGAATTTTGCCTAGGCCTAAACCATCCTAAATCCTGAAATTCGTAATCTTATCCCCCAAAGCAATGGCTCAGGTGAACACCTTGATGCGACAACGCGTCCGTGGTGTGGTTGGCCTCAGCGATTCGGACGACTTCCTGGAGCCCAAGGCACTTGCTGGTTGGGGATTCGGGCTCAGGATTTGGGAAAGCATGATTGGCCAGAGCTTTTGGGCTGTGTAGGGGCACTGTAAAGGACTCCGTGGAAGGGTATGCCGTGCCTGACATCTTCACATTGCGAAGAGGGTTGGGTTTTTTCCTGGAAGGCCAAGGCAGGTCTTTGTCAGGATGCTCCCAAGTCAAAACTGCCGGCACGGCGGTCATGGGGTCAGGTTTTCACAGTGAGAAGATATATATGTATATGTATATATATATATATGAGCCATAGTCAAAAATCCTTGAAGGGGGTTATTTAAGGGATTATAGTGGAGTAGTATAGAGGTTTTTAAGATGGCTCATATCAAGGAGTCGGGAGCTTTGCTGGTAGACATCGAACGTCGATGCTGACGGGAGTCATCCACTCCCGATTCCTGATTCTTGCGCTCTCGTTTACTCCAACATGCGGCTGACCAGATCATGGGATCTTGCATTGCACCCCGCTTGACTCCCCCTCCCCTTCCCCAAATGACGAGGGTAAGATGAGCCTTTAATAAGCCCTCATTCCGACTTCTTATTAAGGCGTTTAGTATGGGGGCAGGGAGTACGGGGGGCATAGTATAGGATCCCATGCCAAGACTTTGCTTTCAAGCGTCTCGGGATGTCTCGAGTTTGATTGTGACAAGAACTGGCCACAAACGTGATCTAAAACTGAAGTTCCTACAGTCGTATGCTCAGGTGCTCCATCTTCCTGCAAGGAGAGCGTACAGGGTGCCAGCGCGCGACTTGCTCCCTTTTGATATGACGGCATAAAAGTAACGCTTGACGAGATTGCAAGAGCTGCGAGATTCCTGATTCCTGACAGTCTACGAATTGATCGCCGATGATCACAGGGATAACGGATAGATCATCCCAAGATAAATTATCCCCAAACCCCAAGCCCTGTAAACCCCAAAACCTGGACATGGCCGAGGACTGGTGCTCTCGATCCTCATCGTGCTTGCTGCATTGCTCTCTTCTGTGGTGACTTTTGTTTACCCCATGCTCAAGTGGCAATCTGTGAATATCCAAACTGTGGATGACTTGGATGATCCTTGCCACGGTTTGAATGCTTTTAACTGATTAAGATTTTGCTCAAGTATGATGACTTGCAAACTACTGTTCAAATCATTGGAGCGAGAAAAGGGCTGACGCATAGGCAGTAAAGACACAAGCTTTATTGCGGGCTCGCTTGTCCTGTCAAGGGATAGGTCATGTTCGTCGAGGTGCTACACTTGGCCCGAGAATATAGACATGATAAACCCAGAGCGGCACCATGGTCTTCACCTCTTGAGTGCACACCACGCCGGACTTAGTGACGCACACCCTTAGGGCAGCATGGCGAGTACTGACATGGAGGCCGTCCCAAGGCTTGAGGCACATCCCCATGGGCACCTGCCACATTCAGGTCCCAACATACCGCCCCGAAACAGGACGATCCTTGGCAGCCAAGGCATCGATCAACGAGCAGGGCGAAGAGCTCCACCAACTTGTCCTGGATGCCTCTTCGGCGTGCTACCGCGAGGCGCTGGTGAACATTGCGACTGGGCAACTTTTTGCAATGCAACAAGATTCTCAAAATGTGTCGAGCAAATCTAAACGCCAAGCATGCTGAATGCGATGCTGGAACTTTGCCGTGCAATTGTCCCGCGTCCAGTGATCCGACCTTTAGACATTGTGATTTAGCTGTCAAAACAGTCTAACGCTGAGACTGGCAATCTCACTTTCCTTTGCTTCTGTCTGGCGTAACATGTCAAAAGTCCGATTTGTATATGTAGGTTCATATATCACCTTGTACAGCAGACGTGTAGATTTACAGAAGTGATTTCGATGTAGATAGACGAAGAGGGGGGATACCGACACACAGGGCTCCATCAATTGAAAGATTGCTGCTTCATGCCCCGAGTGCAGTCAAAGTGCAAAACATATCAAGGCCAAGTTTTAGATTTGGAGAGCCCTGTACTAATGGAAAAGAAAATGGAAA